ACATACTCTGTTCAGCAGAGAAATGTACTGTCATGACCAAATGTTTTTTTATTGGCAGAAACACAAGCTTGCCAGATGAAAATACACACCTCATAATGAAGCCGTCTGGCTTTGGACATGGCAGGCAGGGACGTCCTTTTACCGCTGATGTTGCGGAAGACTTGAAAAACCATGAAGCAGAGGAAGAGGAAGTAGAGACAGGCACAGATCCCTGCCACAATTATGAATGCCATCTGAGGCAACAGCAGTCAAGGAAATCACCAAGTAACACTCTCCTTAAAGAGAGTCTGCCAGCAGAATGGTGGTGCATACAAACATTACCTAAATTATTTGTTCACAAATACAAACTGAACATCAGCAAGTATAGTTTGTGTGCATGTTTAGCCTTTTATATGACATAAAACAATATATTCCAGACTGAAAAATGAGCTAATAAGTGAGAAGAAATAGACTACGTTCAATAAATGTAATTGTACACATTGAAAAATCTGTATGTGCTTGTATCTACACTTTAATCAGTACGTAGAAATTGTAAGAAAGAAACACGATTTTTAGTGCCTCATTAATAAATCCTTAACAGACTTTACTGCAGTAGAAGGCACGGCAGAAACATGTCAGCAGTGGACCTTATAAAGATTTGATGACCCTGGTTATAGACACTGTACCAAATGTCTTCATCAAACCGCTGAGAGTCAGGAACACTGAGCAGGCTTTTCCTTTTGATGGGACTCAGAGAAAAAGAGAAGAAAAAACTAAATAAAACAGGAGGCTGTTTGGCAGTTGTTTTTGTAGTAGTGTGCTGATGAATCTTGCATTGCTCGGCTTGGCAAGCGAGACAAACAAACTGTTACACACTCATAAACACATCATCTCGAGACCCTGGAAAATGCTTTCACATATGGCATTACTGAATTATTTCTCATCGTATTAGTGTAGAGATCAGTTTCCAGTTCATGCTAAAGCCAACTAGAAGAAGGTCTAATATATGTACTGGAAGAAGGAGGGCATTATGTCATGATAACGTGAGTATTGGTTAAGACACAGATCTGTTCCAACAAGAAGAGCAGAGGAACAACCATAAACATGATTATTGGCTGCTAAACTGAAAAACAAAATTTAACCATTCACACTTTATTAGCATCATATGTATCCAACAAGCTTTTGGCTCTTTTTCTGAGACAGTTGTCAAATACAGTTGAAAAAGGATACAGCAAGCTCAGTTCCTACATCAGACGCCCAGATGCTGTAAAAGGGGTTCGTCAGCTGGACCCCTCTGGTGACGCAAAAAGAAAAACACCACATTTATAAAAAAAAAAAATTTTTAGGTGTGTCACAACAATTTATTACAAAAATCTGATAATATACACAGCATGTTAATCATATAAATAGAAATAAAAAATCTTGCTCTCACCTCTCACACATGTCAAAGATAAAGAGGCAGAAG